AGAATAATTTTTTGTTTTTTTTTTCGATTTGAAAAATCTGGTTAAGTAAAAAATATTATTATTATTATTATTATTATTATTATTATTATTATTAATATTATTATTATTATTATTATTATTATTAATATTATTATTATTACTAATATGTATTTAGGTTTATGAATTGTTTATTTATTTATTTTTTATTTTAAATTTTAATTTATTTTTTCTTTTTATTAATTTTTTATTATTAATTTTTTTTAAGAGAGAGAGAGAGAGTTTATTTTAATTTAAAGTAATTTTTTTTTTTAAATTTAAATAAATTTAATTTTAATTAACTTAATAATAATAATAATAATGATTTTTTTTGCTTTAATGAATAAATAATAATGTTTTTAAAATAGATGAAAATTTATTAATAGTTTAATAAGTCGTTATTATTTATTATTTATTAACAATTTGTTTTTAAACAAGATTTTCTTATTAATTTTATTACGTATTTTTTTTTATTTAAAGGGAAACGATGTAATTAATTAATAACAAACATAATATTTAATTTTTAATTATTTTTAACAAACAACAACAACAACAACAAACAAACAAACAATTCTCTAAAAATTTATTAACAAAAAAAAAAAAAATTGAAAACAAATTCATTCATTTTTAAAATTAAATATTTAATAACGTTTCCATATATATTTTTATTTAATTATTAAATATTTTTATTTATTTATGTATAATAATTAATAAATTATTTAATAAGTTTTTCATAAGAAAATCAATTTTAGAATAAAAAAAAAAAACGTTAAATTATTTATAAAAAAAAATTAAAATTTTTGATTGAATGGAAACAAAAAAAAGAAAAGAAAATTTTTTTTTTTTTTTTTATGTTCAATAAAACTTGTCGTTACATTCAATCAAATATAAAATTATTATTATTATTATTATTATTATTATTATTATTATTATTATTATTATTATTATCATCATCATCATCTTTTTATTTTAAGGCGTTTAATTTAAATATTAAAAAAAAAAAAAAATTTTATTTATAAAAAAACAAACTGTAAAAAAAAATTTTATTTTATGGTTTTAATGACCCATTTTTTCTATTTTTTTTTTTTTTGTCAGTTCAGTTATTATACCATTATAAACTTTTTCTTAATTAAAACATTGGAAAAATTTTTTTTTTTTTAAGGGGGGGAGTGAGAAAAAAAAAAAAAAAAAAAAAAAAAGTAACCCGCAAACGTTTTTTATTTTTCGTAGCATAATTCTTTTTTTTTTTTTTTTTAAAATTAATTTTCATTAATTAAATTTTTTTTTTTTTCCAATTTTGTTAAAAAGGGAACCTTACCTTACCTCACACTACCTTTCATCCATGACTCCCTCCTTCATCCTAATAATAATAATAATAATAATAAAAATTAAACCGTCGAAACCTTTTTTTTTTTTTTTTATTAACTCAGATTAAATGGAATGCAATAAAAATTTTTTTTTTTTCTCTTTTAGTTTTCATTAATTTTTTTTTTTTCATATCGACGCGAGGTTATATATTATTATTATTATTATTATTATTATTATTATTATTAAAATCGATTTCCTTTTGTTTGTTTATCAATGTTATTTTATTTTAAACAAACGTAAATACCTGAGCTTGTTTATTAATTTATAATAAAAAATTTTATTTTTGTTTTGTAACTTGTGAGTTTTGCCACAGGAATTTTTTTATTTTTTTATTTTTTAATGTCGCAGTTGATAAAAAATGTCCTTTTTTTTTTTACGTCTCCCCAATGAAATTAATAATTTTAAATGCTTCTAGAATTTTTATTTTTTTTTTTTAAACATAAAATTAATTTAATTAAATAAACAATTTGTCCTTAATATATAAAAAAAAAAAAAAATTGGCCGCTTTAACGATTTTTTTTTTTTTTTTTTTTTTTTTTTACAAAGGCTTGGACAAATAATAAAAAAATTTATGTATTTATTTATTTATTTATAAGACAAATAATTATTGTAATCGCCTCAATAAGTTTTTATTATTATTATTATTTATATTCTTTTACATTTACGCCATTATTAAAAATAAAATAAAATGACGCTAAATAAAATTTTATTTTATTTACTAATTTTTTTTTTTTTTTTTTTTTACAGATGAATAACTTGAAAGTCGTTAAATTTATATTAACCGGAAGTGGCTGATGTGAAACACACGACGTCAACGCACACGAGCAAAATTTATTTTCAACAAAATAAAATAAAATTCGAGAGGAAATTACAATGAAAGAAACTCCGGCAAAAAAATCAACCATCAAACGGTGTAAGTTTATTTATTTATTATTATTTTATTTTTTAAATCGTATTTAATTAACATAATTTATTTCGAAATTTATTAGTTAAAAAACAAACGTTTTCATCGACATTGGGTAAATTTTCCCAGAGCAATAATAATAATAATAATAATAATTAAAAAAAAAGCGTATGAATCGATGATTGTGATGAAATGACATTGATTGATATTTGCAACAATAACAAAAATAATTTTTTTCCCCCATTTTTTTATTTTTTATTTTCAAATTAATTTGTTATTTATTCTGCTGTCGGAAAATGAAAGAAAAATCAACATCACGTTTTCCTCCTCCTCCTCTTTCTCCCACCACCACCACCACAAAACAAAAACAATGTTTTCATTTTTTTTTTTTTTTTGTACGCCTCACAGCAAATTATTTTTTAATATTAAACAATACAATCGAGAAAAAAAATGAATGAATGACGTCATTAATAATTTAAAAACAATATTTAAGGTTAATTAATAAAATGATGATGATGATGAAAACCTTTTTCTCAAATAATATTAGGACCCATTGATATTAAACAAAACAAAAAAAAATTTTTTTAAATTTAATGCATTTTGGCTTATTTACAAATTTTTTTTTTTCTGTTTTTTTTTTTTTTTTTTCATAACATTTAATATTTTTAACACGCTTAATAACTTTTATTATTATTATTATTATTATTATTATTATTTTGTTTAAATTGCATTGCAATAATCATGTATAAATAGAAAAAATTTTTACGTGACCCATTTTGTTGTGATTTTTTTTTTTAATATTTTTTTTCTCAACAAATTCGTTACAATCGTAATAAATAAATAAATAAATTCATCGATACTATTATTTCCTACGTAAATAAGTTATTAATACATAAATTTATTTAAATAGGTTAGGCACGGTTTAAATTTATTTAATTAATTATTTTATTGTTTTATACCATCGCACGCAGGAAGTGATTGATAGATGATAATAATATTAATTAAAATTTATCTTTTATTATGTACAACAATAAAAATAAGAGAATTTTTTATGGTTGGTTTTCTTTTTTTTTTTAAATCGAAAATTTGCAAGTATTTACTACGTTTTGATCGTAAATTAAAAAGGGATTTTAAAAGGGGGAGAGGAGGGGTGGGAAGCGGGGGAGGGCGGTGGGTGAGATTATCAAAACGAAATTATTTACCGACACGTGTTTTACCTTTTGTTTAAAAACATTTTATCACATCGAATCGTGTTTTACCACGTAAAAACGATTATTTAAATCCTATTATTATTATTATTGTTATCATCTACGTAAAGTTTGGTGGGGGGGAGGGTGGGAAAAAGAAGAAAATTATTGAAAATCGATGGTAGTTTATTTTAAAATAAAATAAGTTTACAAATAAAAAATAAAAAAAATAGAAAAGTCATAAAATATAAAAGTTTAAGAAGAAACGTTCAAGTATAAAACGGTTAAGGTTTTTTTTTTTTTAAAAAAAAACAAAATATTATCTTCTCGATTAGTTTAACCAATTTTAAAATGGGGAGCGGAGGGGGCGGGAAAAAACTTCGAAATAAACCCACGTAAATCATTGGAGGAATAAAAAAAAAAAGGAATGAAAAAAGGTTTTAAATTTTGCACGAAAAAAAAAAAAAATGTGTCAGGAGGTTAGTAGGTGAAAAAAACAAAATTTAAAACCTTTTTTTTTTTCTATATTATTATTATTATTATTTATTTTTACCGCAAGGTTTGTTGTTGTTGTTGTTGTGATTTATACAAACACACAACAAACAATGTTTGTTTTATTTATTTATTTATGATTTTTTTTATTCGTTTTTTTTTTTAAAAAATAATAAATTACAATTAATACGAATAACATTGAATTTAATTGTGTGCGATGGTAAATTTGTTTTAATTTTTTTTTCTTTTTCCCCCCATGCAAAGGTCACGCGTAAGGTCAATCACGTGAAAATTTTTTTTCATCTTTTTTACAAAAAATGTTTTTGCAAAAAAAATTTCCATCAAAATTTATTTTGTTATCATCATTTTTTTTGAAAAGGATGAACACGTTTCGCTTTTATGAATATCTTGAAAAACACGTTTAAAGAGAGAAAGAGAGAAAAAATCAATCACGGTTGTTTTTAAAACCGGAAATGAAAATTCCGTGAAAAATTCGATTTTTTTTTTTATTTCATTTTTTTTTATATTTAACGCTTTTTTCGTATTTTTTCATCAAAAAAAAAAAAAAAAAAATATGGCGCGCGTAAAAAAAAATAAGGAAATTAATTCATGTTGGCATTATGGGCGTGAAATATTGACAAGAAAAAAAGGGCGTCAATGAACTTAATATTTAAAACGTAAATAATTAATAAAAATGTCGGATATTATTTGTAAATAATCCATAAATCCGTACGCGATAAATTTTTTTTTTCTTTTCTCTATATTTTAAAAACGAAAAAAAAAATCTCGAGAGTTTTTTATTATTATTTTTTTTTTCAGAAAAAAAAAAAGCATTTTTTCAGTTTTCCACGAGGAAAACAAAAAAAAAAAATTGTCGTGCGGTTTTAACATGTGAAAAAAATTAAACTCATTACGAGAAAATAAAAAATTTATTTTATTTATTTAAACCTTTTAATAATATTATTGTTCGTGAAATGTATTAATGTCCGACATTTTAACTGCCCATATATAACGACCATTAAGACAAAAAAAAAATGTCGGAAAATTTATTTTTTTTTTTTATCGAGCGTAGGTTGTATTAAAAAAAAAAGAAAATCCTTATTCATTTATATAAATCAGCGAATTTGCTGTGCCATTTTTTTTTTTATTAACGGTATCAAAAACAAACATAATAATATCATCATCATCATCATCATCATCATCGTCGTCGTATTAATAATGATACTAACATATATGTACACATCAATATTAAAATTTGTCTGAATTTTTATTTATTTTTTTATCTCGATCGTTACTTTGCCAGATGCGTAATTAACGCTGTGAGCAATTTTTTTTTTTTTTTTAATATTTAAAATTTATTTTAACCCCGCGTTTTTCTACTCCCCTCCTTCCCCTTCCCCTCCTCTTCCTCATCCCTTCGATTTTAATTTATTTAATATACGCCATTAAAAATTTAAAAAAAAAAAAATTAATAACTCCAACAATTCTTTAAATTTAAAATTACGTAAAATTTACGTAACGACGTTTAAATTATTATCATAATCATCATCATCATTATTATTATTATTTATTATTATTATTATTATTATTATTATTATTATTATTATTATTATTATTATTATTATTATTATTATTATCCACCATTAAACACGACAAGGCTACTTGTCGGAGTTTTTAAGTATTTATCCGAGGTTTCTACCCGATTCCTTAGGGACAAATACTCGAATTTCGGTGGTGCCACTTATTATAAGATAGCACCACATCAATTCTTGAAGGTCTTCCTGAGTCCGTCTTTTTCGATGGGAACGATTTGTCTCCTGAACTGGGCTCCGGTGACTAACATCTTTGGAGTGGCCAGGGTCAGAAGCAGG